TTCATTTGCGGGTTTCTGGAATTTATCCAGAAAGCTACAAGAGCTTTTCGAGCTGATCTTCTCGATTCGTGCCCTAGGATTTCAACTTCTACCTCAAAGTCGTCAACGTTGTGCCTTTGTATCTTGTGTCTGCCTAGAGGTTTATTTGGGTCTTTCTTTGTTTTCCCGTCTAGATGTTCTTCTATTCGGATGGGAAGCGGTCTGCCTGTTTCGCCAATATATTCGCCGCCACATGTCTTGTAAGAGATAAGGTATATTGTACCTATGCTTGTGAAGTCTCCGTGTCTATCGTTGGGAAAAATAACGCAGTCCATTGTGTTACATAGACGGTCATGAAAGCGTTTTCGAATTTATTGACGACGCAGTGTTTTAGGAGGAATTTCTACAGAATCTTCTAGACCACTGGTTTTGGACTCTTTCTATTAGCGATATTTCGTCTGTTATAAAAGGTAGTATAAGAGGTATCTTATTGCTTAGGTGTGGCGCCCTTTTGATCCCATTGTGAGCGCTCCCTTTCGGCCTAAGTTAGCTGTTGTTTTTCTAAGTCTAGTGATAATATTCTTTCATCGTTTCCCGTGCAAACACTTGCACTGTTCGATACATATTTGGGATAAGTGCCTTTTTAGCATGTAAAAGATGAGAAGAAAGGTAGTGCACCAAGATGTTTTAGTTACCAAGCTTACGATACCATTTTGTATTGTAGCCACTTTCATTGAGTTAAACTAGAACGTTCAAGAAGTGAAGTCAGTTTTCTGAACTTTGTTGTTCTCGCGTCAATTTAATAAACTCTGACTGTCTGTTCAGACTTTCGAAGCATTTACCCTTTTCCTCTTGTGTCGAGCAGATGACAAAACATTCGATCGTCTATATATAACAAATGAAAATCGTCTATATATCGACAGTAGAGTATTGGACGCCGATGGAGAACTGGAGCGCCACTTATAACATGAAAGCGATGACTAAGCTGGGTGCTACTCCTAACGCCATTGCCAACCCTCTAATTTATGCAAAACATCTCCCGATCACCTAAATATCGAACATCTTGAGCATAACTTTAGGAGTGCGATAAGTTGTTGGACAGACAAGCCAAACATATCTAATCTTTCTTTGTTTTCTATTAGTAATTCATGAGTGGCTTGTATTGCGACGTCATTTGAGAAGTTTGTATAGAGCGCTGCAACATCAAACAAATGACTTCATTGCATACGTATGATTTGAACCCGCATTTCTAAGGTGTTACAGGAATAAACTGGTGTTTGGGAGATCGGTTGTATGAACTTTAGTAATTGCGACAATATGAGGCCCAGGAACCATGTTATCCTATCCCTCAGCCCGCCTACACAGCTGATGATTGGTCTAACCTCGAACGTTGAGGGATCGGTAAACCCAAAATCATTCATAGATAATTTAAGTGTTCTAATGAGTGTATAAAGACGAGGCAAAGTTGGTACTTTTGTTGTAAACCCGCAGCTTTTGCCATTCGGACCCACTCTTTATTCAATTTTCGGTATTACGATTTATATTCCTCTTCAAAGAAACATCGATAGAGTAAAACATCCTGAAGATGTTTCCCTGTTATATCAAATCGAAGTGACAAGAAATAACTACAAATTTCTACCCTTATCGCTAATAGGATGTTTTTTGAGTTTTCCCACCCTTATCGCTCAAATTTCCCACCCTTATCGCTAATAGGATGTTCAGCTCTCGGACTTGTCTCATACCATGTTTTTGTATTTGTATAGTCGGTAGCGATTAAGTACGTGGGAAAGTTCGTCCGAAAATGTACGGAATATTGAATCAATTTCGCTACCAGATTGATGCTGTTTGAAGAACAACGCTCGTGGAAAAGGAGGTGGTGGTAATGCTTTTTCGCCACGTTGTACTAGACCTAACCTTTCTTGCTTTGCTTTATAACGAAGCTGATCTAGAACTTCGTTCAAATTACAAGTGATAGCGCACTGGAAGATTCTGTGAATTGTAGAATTTCCTTCTAAAATAATGCGTCGACAATTAGTCCGAAACCACTCTGACTGTCTAAGTAATACAAAGGACTGCGTTATTTGCCCCAACGGTAGAGACGACGACTGCATAAGCATAGGTACAATATACCTTATCTCTTCTAAGACATGTGGTGATGAATACATTGGAGAAACAAGCAGACCACTTTACATCCGTTTAGAAGACTACTTAGGCGGAAAAACAAAGCAAGACCTAAGTAAATTTCTAGGTACACAGGAGACAAAGGCACAATAATGGCGCCCTCGGGGTAGTAGTTGAAATCCTAGGGCACGAATCGGAAAGACCAGCGCGAAAAACTTTTGAAGCTTGTTGGATAAGTTCCAGAAACCCGCAATTGAACAAAAAGGGAGAGTGCCTTAACATAACCAACCACAAGGCACCTTATCTCAGATTGATTTTCTAGAATGGGTCTCAGCTGACACCTATACATAATTTGACCTAGTGACATGGGGGCGGGTTCATACGTCACCCTACGCAAAGAATATAGGTGGTCTCCAGACTAGATCACAAGATAAGTCTTTTCTCTGAATCAGTTATCGCTTAATAATGCTCTAGATTTCATTTTTCCATATTACATAGTCAACGATACAATGATTAATACGTTCAGGCTATGAAAAAAGCGTATTTGCCGAAACGTTGGCCTCAAACAACTAAGAAAATCCATCGACCGAAAAGAAGCACAATCGATCGGGAAAAAGATGGCAACCTCATGAACCTTTGAATAAAGATTAATTCTTAAGCTTTTCTTCTCATTTTGACAGCTATAAAACTCACATTTTTCATTTGTTCATTCATTTAAAATTCGATAAATTGTGTGTTGTACTCAATTTTTTCTGCATTGTGCAAAGATGTGCAGTATCTGAGCACAAGTTGAACGGTTTATGCCTGTCTCCAGTTTGGGGATTACATGCTAAGTTTGGGGATTACATGCTACCGCTGAAAAAGTCAAATTCTTTCACTGATGAGAAAAAAATCGTACAAATTACAGGCTAATGAGGTAGGTGTCGTAAAATTTTATGCCTCGTGCCTGCTACGTGGTACTCACCGATGACGAATTTACTTCAATACATACTAGTATCAAGCGGCCTTACACAAACTGATTCTTATATGTGGACTGTAGCTAACAAGTTTGAATATTCAGTGGAGAAAACGGCGGTGACTGAATTCAGGCCTCCACAATAGGGATTAGGCTATTTGTGAGCTTTGCACGAAATATTATGTATAAGTGTAGTCCATAAATGACATCTTTCTCGAGCAGTGGATTAAGTCACCGCATGACTCTCTTCTCCACTTTAATTCATTGATGAGCACAAGGATGTCAGAAATAATTTCTGTGGCTATCTATTCGCTGTTTTCATCACAGACAAGATAATTTGAGTCGAGTGATCACAGTAACTGCTTCTTCTTGCTCCTTCTTGCGTCGTTGGTTTTCGATGCCGTCATCGAGACGATTAGAGAAAAATGGAGCATCGCAGGGAATCTTGTTTTCCACTAGATACCAGCTCATGTACTTTCATAAACAAGTATGAGAAAGAGTACACTGAGAGCTCTCGCGATCATATTTGAATGAAAGCGAAAAAATATTCGAGTAAATTGAATTTAAGACAGGTTTTTTGAGGAAACAATTGCACAACGATAAATTGTACAACAAGTTCAACTACAATAACTATGACAACATCAAGGACTACAAAACTCAGATCGCCGATTAGCGTCGATTAAGGAATTTTTAGTTGAAATTTCAGCTTTGTAGTTTAGCGATTTTAGTTGAAATGGCATGGACAATTGATGTGTGTTTTTGAATTTCGACATTCATTGAACGTCGGTGTAGATGATCAACATTTTCTGCTCACAGCTAAGCTTGAAATCTTTAGAGTTTTCACTGTCTTTACCGCAGTGTTATGCATATATACCTAAGAGAATTGAGTAGTGAGGAAAAATATCAAAATCACATATGCGACCAAGCATGTTAAAAGGTGGGTGGCCGATAGCTAACATTGAGATGTTGTAGAATGACTGGTGGCGCGGATCTACCTCAGTGGTAAAGTGGTAGCACGCGTCCCCAGTATGATAAAACGCAAATTCAATTTCTGTCTGAGGTCGTATTTTTGCTTGCCGCTCAAATCTCTTAGGCATATATGAAACATCATAACACTGCGAAAAAAGCCGTAAAAACAGATCTCAAAATAGAAGTCATTACAGTCTACATATTCATGCCAACGAGAAATAAGCTTGCTTATTCCTGCAGCTCAGAAATTGTGCCTTGAGATTCAACAAACTCGTGGAAGGCATCTTCTGCGTCGTGTTAGTCGTAAAACCGTTTTCTGTTAAGAAATTGTCAAGATGCGTGAAGAAGTGGTAATGGGTGATCCGACCAATATAAGAATGAGCTAAGCTTTGTAACCTGATTCGTTTAGCTCTTGAAGCGTTCTTGTTCCACGTGTAGCTGTCGACTGGCCGTAATTGAATCACTTTTGCACCAGCTTTTTCACCCCAGTCTGCTTCAAATAGCGAACGACCATAAAAAGCGCAACGTGCAGTTTTTCTGCAACATATCGTATAGTCTTAAGAGGATCAGCTTCAATGATTGCTTTCATTGGCCGCTGTCAACATCCCATGTCTGGTCACTGCGTTTCTCGTTTTCAAAGCTCTTATCTCTTTTACGAAATGTTTGCCAAACGTGCTGTTAAAGTTATGTATTATACGTGTATGACTTGCCCTCGATCGTGGTCACTGCAATGTCAGGGGATATGTCACTAGAGATGCAGTGATTTGAATTGTTCCGTTTCGATTCCTTTATAAGTAGGAGTAATAAAATAGTAGGAGCAATAGTTAAAATACTAGAAATTTGGAATATTAGTTATCACAATGGCTCACCTCAACTGGGTTCACATAGCGAAATCGTATAACCGACCAATCCTTTTAGAAGCTAATGGCTGATAGGTAACATAGAGATGCTGAAGAGTGAGTGGTGGCGTAAATGTGCCTCGGTGGTGTAGTGGTAGCAGCACGCCTCTCTGGTATGGATGGAATGCGTGTTTGAATCCTCCTTGAGGCTGTGTTTTTGCTCACCACTCAATTCTCTCAGGAATTTATAAGTATGGTATATCCCTCTGCAAGAGATCGGTTGAACTGAAAAGCACCGTACTACTGATGAGCCTGGAAAGGCGAAATAGGACTGTCTACTACTGTACAAATGTTATACCAGACCTCATACAAAGCTCATATCATGTTATCATATTAAATCGGGATGCTGCCATACTTTCTCTGACTTGCAAAATACAAAATACTCCTAGCATCGTCCTTTCGATTCTGCAACTGATAATATCGAATGATTCGTTATCCTGTTTACGTAACAAAGCATGAAGCGATGGTCTTTTCTTAACCACATCTTCAATTGTCTTTATAGCTCAAGAGTTACCTTCTTGTTCTCAGTTTTGAAGCTGAGGCTTTAACTTCATAAAACATTTCTATGTAGCTACAAATCGAAGTTGATTTTTTCATTTTTAAATGAGTAGTCGACAAGAAGCCCGTTTTTCGTGAATATATTTGAGACTCAACAAAGGACAATTACATAAGTTACTGATTTTCTCAACTTCAATGTTGCTAATCATACTCAACTGTGCTGAAAAGGCCCTATTACCTGTATCACCTGCTGTCTCGTTGATCGTCGAGTGACTCGAGCGAGTACCAGCAACACTTCCATTTTTCCCTATTGCGTAAAAGAGTAGCCCAGTGGGTACTCTAGGGATTCGCTGAGCATCTTATCTTTCTTCTAAAGCCCTATACTTTTGAGAAATTTCCCTTTACTCAAACTTTTCAGTTGACGGCCACGACTATTCTTCCTCTGGGACATCAGTCCTCTCAGTCCTCGCATAAGCATCCCGTGGAACTTCTGCAGTGATAACAATCAGTTTTTACAGAATGATCTTGTGTCATTCGGCAATTAATCATTCTGTAGTCATACTAAGTGTCGACGCCATTTAAGCTGTTCTTTATACCAGCAATCTCAATTGAATGCCACTGTGAAGACTATCGTAGCAAGGAAACACGTAGACCATTGGCAAAAAATTAATTTGTACCAACTTGTATGACTTACACAGTCTGATAAGGCATCATGATTGTTCATACCATATGCAAGTAAAAATCGGATTAAGTTGACTGTTAGTGTTGTTACAAGATCTTGGTTGTAGGTATTACATACAATGTCTTAGTTGTGTGGTATTACATAGCTTTCGAATGACAATGATGATAACCTTAAATTGATTCAAAGCGATCACTTGTAATCCTGATAATTCAGAAAGATCCGTTACTGTAAGAATTTGCTTCTTCTTACATAATCTTTTTTGTCACTTGAATGGTTTTCCCCAATTTCCAAGGTTGATTTAGAAGAGGTCTCCTCTTCTGCGCAACAACAAGGTCTTATTGGTTTCGCCCCATCGAAGGGCCTTTAGACGATGTCAAATCGTACTTCGTGATGCCACTTTGTACGGCACACGTTTGTCAAACATCTTCGAAATCAAAATTTGCTTTAACGAAATTTTCCAAACTAGTGCTGTACTGCACTATTGTTAACACTATCTTGGCACCACATTTTATTGTCATTTTGGGTAGTTTGCATTGCATTACGATCTAGTTTGGATCACCGGTACACAATGTCGGGCAGGTGATAATTCTGACATGGCATGTGAAAATCTGTTTCCTTTATTTGCCATCTGGTGTTCGCAGAGTACGTTTTAATGAATGAGATTCTGCAGTCTGCCGTTGTAATGAACATCATGCCTTACTGTTCCGTATTAACACTTACTGCTGTTGGAAAGAAAGTTCTGGGGCACCCTAATAAGCATGAGATAACTCGCATGCATATCAATGGGAATATTACAATTATGTGGGATTTTCTCATTGAAGGCCTAGATTTATTGGTCTTTGCTCCACTTTGTTACAAGCCTCCACCATGTCCATTGATACAATCGAAGTTCGTGTTTTATTGCGTCGTTATTAGAGTAAAGGTCTTTCCTAGCGAGCTGCAGTCGATGAAATCAACGAAGTTGAAGGGGAAGGCACAGCAAGAAAGTCTGCCGGTGGACGCTGCTTCCAACGCTTTAATGCTTTCAATGATATTTTATAGAATAGGCACTACTGCCCTTGCTTTGAATTTATGCATCAATTTTCCAATTTTTCACAAATGTCCAAATCTTTTCTCCTAACCTAATTTCTAACAACTTAGAGTTGAAATTCATGCACAACTCTAAGATATAATGTACATATGATTAGGAATCATCAGTAGAGCTTGCTGCTTTCAATCCTCGTTTTAAATGAGCTCCGCTTTGAACAGAAGAGTAAGGGGAAGTTACTTGATGAGTTGTACATATCATCACGATGATTTCTTATCAGTAATTTGCAAAATCAGTGCAGAATACATATAGTGGTGGCTATAAATTATACTTTCTTCAATTTTCCCTGAATTACTTGTGATGGAAGTAGTGGTTAGCAGCGATGGTGGGGTCAGCGGTGGTGAAGTTGACCTGAAAGTTTTAAGGAAATTCAATGACATTCAAAAGATCTTGATCATGTTATGCCTTCATCTCATCTAACTTATTTATATCATCGATGGGAAATGCAGTAGATTCAACTGGGGCAAAGTAACGTAGATGCGCTTGAATCATTGTCGTTGAACAATCAGCTATTTAGCTGTCGTTTCAGTAACTACAGATGTCTAGACAGAATCCGACTTGCAAAAACCAGCTGTCCTTTCAATCGCAAGAGTCAGCGCAAATTTTTGGTGGCGATTTGAAAAATCTCTACTTCTACGCGACTCTATCGAAGATCCAGGGTAATCATTCGGGATCAGCAGTCAATAAAGAAATTGGAGAAAGGACTATAGAGCGTGGAGATCATCTACTTCAGATCAGAACTTCCAGCGAATTTTGGTCGCCAGACAGCGAAGCGAATAATGAACAAAGTGGTGGTTTTTGTACGTTGAGTTGAGAAAGGTTTTCTAAATGTCCATGTAAATATATAACGATATCTTGAAAGGATAAAGAAGTATGAAAAGCCAAGTACAGAAATCGTAATTTTTACTAACCTGTGAAATATCGCAGCACCGATCGCTGATATAAGTGAATTCCATCGGACAAGAATTACCAACAGAAGCTAAACGAAGGTTCAAAGTGCCGTCAAAAACAAGCTCTTTCATAACATTTTTGATAGAAGCTCAAGAAATATGTCGCTAAAACGTCTTGGATTTACTTCCTTCAGCAATCAGAGATTTGTACGTTATCTGAGATGACAATGATCAATTTTACACTTTTCTCGACAATCTGCAGTCTGTAGTAAATGACAGTATACAAATGTGTGAGAACAAGATAAATTTGAAAACTTTCAAATAAAAGTCGAAGATTCAATTCATTCTCAACGTTGCTATTTTTTGAATTACCCAAATTCCACAATTACCACAGCTCACTTGTTTGACTTAGAAACTGTGGATATTTTGCATCAGATAAGGGCAGTTATATCGACAGTAACTTACGGCCAAGTCCTTCGTTGCCACAACTTTTATGTTGAGTTTGAACAAGGCTAATGACCATCAGCATCAAAACAAAAGCAAACATTGCTTTAACTCTTCAGTCTATTAGCAGTCGTGGCTCAATGAGAAAGAATCAAGCTATCAAATGTACACAAATATCTATCCGATGCTCCATAGTTACTGGGTCCGACGTGGATGCTGCTTCCGTTATAGTTCATGATATTTTCTTCATCAAAGAAGTGTCTCAGCAATCCATGTCTCAATTCTAATGTCTTCTAAACGATTCTTCATCATAATTTACAGCGCGTGGCCAAACACTTCTCGCTTAAAATGCACAATGAGCTTCAAGTATTTCACGTGTTGCTGCTGTTGCCGCTTGAGGATGTCGTCTCTTTGTGAATATCATGGAATGCTGATCAAGGCGAATCTGTTTACAATCTGGAAGTCAGTCAAGCTAAGGCGCTTCATGAGGCATTCGTTGAACCATTACAGGAAAAAAAATCTTGATATTTGATACACCGCATCGATAAGCACTGCGTCACCCCGCCTAAGCAAATGTACTACAAGTATAACAAGTAAGGTACAATAAGTACTCTACTGTAAGCATACTGAGCAAGCAGGTCAACATTGTAGAGCAGAACAAGTTAATTCTAATGTTTCGTTTACATATGCAGATTTCTGTGCTTCTTGAAAACTATAAGGACTCGAGTATTATTCTCATTTTTGGAAGTTTCAGCTTCAAACTTATATATGGCTTGTATTACACTGCATAAACTGTAGAATAATTTGCTAGAGCGACTTTTCTATACATTTATGAGTCTTTGAACTGCTAAGATATTCTAGTGATTTCCAGCTGTCGAAAAAGCTCCTTAACCCTCCAAATTGCTGAGCAGCTGCTCAAAACAACATCCAACTTCAATAACAAACGATTGCGATGTTTGTAAGTTAGATCATCTCTATCATTAGGCTGCCTGACGAATGTGTAGGTTGAAGATCTTTTGTGATAAAGTTGTAATGATGGATCCTTTTTCTATTAGATTCGCAGCAAGTTAAAAAGCACTTTATTTCAGAGAGTTTGTTGAAAGCATGAAAGTAGATACTGTACATTACATCGCTATCGCAATATCATCTGTACACTGCAATTGTACGCTGCAACTTTTTCAGATTTCATGACAGACTGACATTGAAAACTATTCATTGATAGCCATATATGAATCGAATTGTCTTCACAGCCGTTCTCCATTGGAACAACCATTGCTATAAGCATAATATTCTAATAAATTTCAATCAGTGTAACTATATCTTCGTTTTATTGTGGTTTAGTACATCTTGACATTGTTTGAACAAATCGCCTTGGCACTAAGAGTCAATTCACCAGAAAAAACTTTTCTATTTATTCCTTCGGTTAAATGTTTCCTACTGCGCCATGTCTCCTTATATCTAGATTCTATAATAAAAGCGGTTTCCTTAATGATCATATCTATCAACCTCGATCAAGTTGCTTCAAAGTTGTGCCAGCGAAGGAGTTGGCC